CTCCTGCTGCAGCACCTTTTCCCGTCGTTTTTTCCCGTTTTTTGCCCGAAAACGCCCCAAAAACAGCCAAAACCCGACTGTCGGGTTTTGCAGTATTTCGCTGCTGTGCGGTGTGGTGGGTGGGGGCGGGGACCGTTCCCGCTCCGATACCAATGTAGCGGACCCACCAGGTGTGGTGCTCCGCTAGTGACAGAGATGGAGATGGAGGAAGAAGGGGGAGCAAGATGGCACAACGCAGCTCCCCACGCAAGACTCCAACGCACGTACTCCAAAATGTGCAAGTGAGGAATGAGCCTGAAAACAGACAATGGCTGGAGTATACCCCAGCGGACTGACGGGACTGGACTGGCTGGKACCGACAGAGGTACCGGCCTGGACTGGCCTACCCCGAATGTAACACAGGCCTGTGAGAACAGGCCAAGGGGCTGGTCTCACAGGCCAACCCGAGGTCCGCTACAGATGATAATCTGATGAGAATGATGATGATGATGATGGTGATGATGCTGATGATGAGGAGGAGGATGATGTTGATGATGATGATGATGATGATGATGATGATGATGATGATGATGATGATGATGACGACGAGCAACACCCTGATGATGATGATGCTAGCAAACCTTGATGATGAAACCTTGATGGTGATGACGGCGAAGGTGATATCGAATCGCGATCTGAAAGTGATAGTGCGAGCAATGATAATGGCGAGCAGTACCCCGATGGCCGGCCGTTACTGTAATCACTCACACTTCAGGGTACCTAGGGCTAACTCCACTGTACTCCACAGACATCGACAAAGCCAACGCCTCTCAGGCCGAAAGCCACGTGCAGCAACGCAGCAATGGAGTGAAACGTGGAACTCCCAGAAACTGAACGCCACCGGGAGTCAGACCACCTGCCACCTCAACTTGTGAGATGGTGTGGTCAAGCGCCTGCGGTCTCCTGCGCGTGCGCTAAGCGCCAGGACTTCAAAAAAAGGCCGCCATCGCCGCCGCGCGCCATCCCCAGGACCACGTAGCATCGGGCGGGGCGCAGTGCTCCCGGTAGCGCTGCGCCCCACCCCATCCTCCCCGCCCTGAGGTCGTATTCCATTGGTGCTCGGCGGTTTACATATCTTCCCGTTGTATTTCTCTGCTTTTCTTTTTTTTTTGTATGAATAGGTTATTTTTCTCTTTTTTTTTGGTTAGCGTTTTCTGCCCTGTCCTCGAACTGCAACCGGTCGTTTGTCTGGCGGACCACCCCGAGTATACCACAAGTGCCCGATGCGTATTTGCTTTTCAAGCGGGGAAAGGTACTGGTGGTTCAAACAGGCAACACTGCCCCAGCAATATTCTTCGTTGAACCACCAATACTTCCAGAAGTTGCGGCTGTATACAAGCCCAAAGTGTAGGTCCGAATAGGCCTGGTGGCTCCAGTCCCAATTCATTCAAGTGGAAATGCCACGGCTCTATTTTTTGCCGCGGCCGACGTGTGGCGAAGTACTGGTGGTTCAACCTCTGCTTCCGAAAGTTGCGGCCGCATGTGCGCTGCAACGTGTTGGGGCCGCTGGCATATATCCATTCATGTGGAAATGTGGCAGCACTGGAGCAATGACTGGCCGCATGTGGGCTGCGACTTTCGGCAGTACTGGTGGTTACATAGAGAACAAAAAGAGAGGTCAGGGGGTCTGTAGCCCCTAGAAGCAGCTATGGAAACAAAATAGAAAAGACTCATCAGGAGAGAGAGAGAGAGAGAGAGAGAGAGAGAGAGAGAGAGAGAGAGAGAGAGAGAGAGAGAGAGAGAGAGAGAGAGAGAG